AGAGCCTGGAGCCTGCTTCAGATTCTATGTCTCCCCCCCCCCCCCCCAGCTTTCTGCCCCTCTCCTACTTTCACTCTGTCTCTGTCTCTCAAAAATAAATAAATGTTAATTCATATAAATTTATGTTAAATAGTCACATTCTTAGGTGGTAGGGGTTAGGGCTTCATCATAAGAATTTGGGGGGACACAATTGAGGCCCTATGTGGTTCTCTTGGGGTGCTTATGATCATTCTTTGTTTATTTTGCTTGCATGATACCTACTAGAATGTAGAAAGCTCCAGAAGAGCCAGGACCTATTTTCCTTACTATTTCCAGCCCCCACCCCAGCTCCTAGCACATTTGATAAAATGTTGATTGAGTGAATGAACTCAGATGAGTCACAAATGGTGTCCTGAGAATCTTCTTGCTGCTGGCAGGGCTTTTCTTTCCCTCTGGACTTCCCTGTAGGAAGCAGGTATCCAGGAGGAAAGCCCTTGGACAGCAGTCTGAGCGGGGCCCACGTTTTCTTTCATAGGTCAGAAGCCAATGACCTGGCCCTGAGGCTGGCCCGCCAGTACACGGGACATTGGGACGTGGTGGTGTTAGACCAGTAAGTGCCATTTCCAGAAGCCTGGGCCCACCACTTACTGGGGATCACTGAGGCTCCAGCTAGAATGCCTTGGGCGGGAAGATGAGGAGGGGCCTGGGCTACTGGAGGGAAACATGAAGACCCGGCCATAGAGACACCCCTACATACACCAGGGGGCTCTTTCCCCCAGGGCCTCTCTTCTGGCAGCAGAAAATGCTTTGTAAGGTGGTGAGAATGGGTCCCACAGTTTGGTATTAAAACAGCCCTGATGGTATTGAGTATCTGCTGTGCACCAGGCCCAGGCCCAGGCCCAGGGCTAGAGCATTAATGACAGTTCTGAAGGAGAACCCCCCCGCCCCCCACTTCTCAGCAGACAGAACTGAACCCAGAGAGGTTAACCGATTAGCCACCATTCTAGCTAGTAAGCGGTCATATGGGAAGTCTTACCGGCTCCAAGGCCCGTGCTGGTTCCCAGCCCCAGGAGTCGGGGGCTGTGTTGGAAAGGTTGGTCTTCCCTGTGTCTCCTGAGGTGGATGGACATTGGTCGGGACTGGGCCATGGAGTACTCGTTCCTGAGCCCCCTCCGTTCTTCTCCTCAGTGCTTATCACGGTCACCTGAGCTCCCTGATTGACATCAGCCCCTACAAGTTCCGAGACCTGGATGGCCAGAAGGAGTGGGTCCATGTGGTATGCACTGCCCAAGTGGGCAACAGGTCGGTGCTCACCCCCCCAGCCTGGATGACACGGCGCTGTCACTCCCACAGGCACCTCTCCCAGACACCTACCGGGGTCTTTACCGGGAGGACCACCCCAATCCGGCTGGGGCCTATGCCAGCGAGGTGGAACGCGTGGTGAACAGCGTACAGGAAAAGGGCAGGAAGGTAACTGTGTCTGCACAGGTCCCGTGAATCGAACAGCGGCTGGCATTTCAACCCAGTCCTAGATACCGGGGACCCTGGGAGAAACTGGAACTGGGCCCCCCCATTAGGAATCTAGTTGGGGAGGGGGTTAGCTGCTCAGCAGACAGTCTAGATAAAGGTACGTGCTGGGTGTTACCGGAGTCCAGAGGCCCCTGGCTGGACGGTTCCGTGCAGAGGGGTTAGCACTCAGGGGGCATGGGGCAACCCAGGCAGACATCACCGTGGGGCCTGGCCGAGCTGGCAGGAAATGAGCTTAGAGAAGCAGGCAGAACGTAGGCCTACAAGGGCAGTGCAGGAGGGCTGGAGGCCAGAGAGCAGTAAGACCAGAGGTGCGTTTGAATGGGGCCAGCCTGAGGCCGTGAGGAGGCCCTGCCCCCGTGTTGTAGTGGCCGTGGAGTTCAGGGGCAGAGACGGGAGAGATGGGTGTGCACTGGGAGAGCAGTGGCCACGGGGACCGCTGGACGGAGTTAGCTGTTGGTGGGAGGGCTCTCCGGAAAGTCTTGCTGCAGCAGTGACAGCTGAACACAGGACACACAGCAAAGAGCAGCAGGCTATGAAGCCAGAAAGCCTGGCAGGACCAGATCAGGGGAGCTCGGCGTGTGCATTTCAGATGCTTTGCCTGCACTTACATAAAAGCAGAAAAGAGACTGTTTCCTACCCCATCAGTCCTTCCTTCATCTGGGTGGTAGCCTCTGAAGCAGCTCTAAGACTAAACATAGCTTGGAGGTCACAGCTGTAAGAAATGGGGTCACGGAAGTGCTTTACACAGGACAGTGATGAGTTTGGCGACTGAGCTGAGGCTCACCCTGGTGGCCGATGGAGGATGGACTGCCAGAGGCATCCCACCAGGTGGCATCTGCAGGAGGCCAAGGCAGAAAGTGACAGATATGCCAGGAGGCAGGTGTGTCCAGGTGGAGGGGCTGAGCGTGCGCACAGACACTGGAGAGGCAGAGGCCGTGCTGACTGGATGAAGGAAGAGGCTGGATCAGGGCTGGGAGCTGAGTTTCCCTCGGTGGGGGTGATAGGAGTCACCAGGGAGGAGCAGGGAAGGAACAGTCCGATGGGGAGAAACCTGGGACCTGCTGCGTACAAAGGGTCTGGAGAACTCCATGCAGTAAGAGTTGGTTTGCGGCCCCAGAGCAAACCCGGTCACAGGCCAGATGTGACCTGGAGCCCGAAATGGCCACACAGCCACGCTGGTGACTGGTCCTGCTTGGAGCCAGCGCTGAGCCAGCATTGGCAGGACATGCTCCGCCTGCCACTCAGTGCCTCCACAGTGGTATCCCCAGCATCCTGTCTCGTCCACAGATTGCAGCGTTCTTTGCAGAGTCTCTGCCCAGCGTGGGAGGACAGATCATCCCCCCTGCCGGCTTCTTCCAGGAAGTGGCAGAGTGAGTAGCTGAGATGGCAGGGCTGTAATAATGGGGTTTCCCGACCTTTGTTCAAAAATTCCAGCCTCAGCTTGGCCTCTTGGCCAGAACTTTGAGAAGAAATGGTGGCTCTGAGAAAGCCAGCCACCTGCCTAAGGCCCCCACCTTAGTGCTGGCAGAGCCAGGGTTCAGGGTCCAAGACCCCCGAGCTCCTGGTCTGATCCTCCTTATCGCAGACCCAGTCAGCCATCTGTCCTCTGCCACAGGCACATCCACAGGGCCGGAGGGGTCTTTGTCGCAGACGAGATTCAAGTGGGCTTTGGCCGAGTGGGCCAGCATTTCTGGGCCTTCCAACTGCAAGGAGAAGACTTCGTCCCTGACATTGTCACCATGGGCAAGTCCATCGGCAATGGCCACCCCGTAGCCTGTGTGGCCACAACCCAAGCTGTGGCAAGGGCATTTGAAGCCACCGGCGTCGAATACTTCAACACGGTGAGTGAAGGCTCCAGGGCAAGGGAGCACCGTGTGTCCTGCGGGCCTCACCCTGGTGGTCCTTAAAGAGCAAAGGCCACAGGCCTAGCACTGTGCCCAGTGCACAGATTTCTAAGATGCTGTCCTTGGGGGTTACTGTAGGTCAGAGGGAAAAATATACACAACCTTAATTTTTTTTTTTAATGTTTCTTTATTTTTGAGAGAGAGAGCTTGAGCAGAGGAGGGGCAGAGAGAGGGGGAGACAGAGTCCCAAGCAGGCTCCATGCTGTCAGCACAGAGCCTGTTGTGGGGCTCAAACCCACAAACCGAGATCAGTAAGATCATGACCTGAGCCAAAGTCTGACGCTCAACCAACTGAGCCACCCAGGTGCCCCACACACCTTTTAAAAACTCGCATCAATCTAAAAGCTGTCTCAAGAGACGGTGCCTTGTAAAGTATGCAGAATGAATACAAGAGGCCCTCTCTCCCTGCTGGGTGTCAGGCCCTGTGCCTGAGCTGATGCAGATGTGTGAGGAGCTCCACCTGTCTGGGTGACTAGTGGTCTGGGAGCAGAGTTAACATTCCAGTTGGAGCTTTGAGGAGGGCATGGCTCCCTGTCCTTGGGTGGGGTGGGGTGGGGAGGCTGGAGAGCTTTCCCTAAGTTCAGCGGCACTGAGAGAACATGCAGGGGGTGAGGGGAGCACGGTCATCAGCAGGGGCTTCCTCAGAGCTGAGGAGTCAGGACCCATCCTGATGTCAGTGACGAGCCATGACGAGCCATGGAAGGGTTTTAACTGGGGACAGATGAGGTCTGAAATACACTCGAGAAGGATCTCTGGTGATCAGTGTAGAGAAAGAACCAGAGGTGGGGAAACGGATCCAGAAGGATCTTGTCTAAGACAGGAAGACCCAAGTCTGGGCACAGGCCACAGGGAGGACATGGGCAGGGACAGCGTCGAGGGAAGAACTCACTATGACTTCTCAAAAAAGAGCCAGTTCAAATTGGGGCTGAAACATGTCAGGATTGGGCAAGGTGGGCAAAAGTTGGCAGAGGTCGTTAAGGGTGAGGGCTGATGGTTTGGTAAATCGTCACTTTGTGCCCAGGAGACACGCAGATAGAGCTCCTGCCCTGGACCAGACCTGTAGACACCTGACCTTGGAGGTGTGGACAGCTTGCATTCGGGGACAGCACAAGGGACGAGGGATGTGGGAGGGAGGGCGGAGAAGGGGTGTCCTGTGAGGGGGGCGTCTGGGGGAACAGGGAGGAGCAGCCCTGGGAGCAGGAAGGAGTGTGTTGTGAGGGCTGAAAGACAGATCTGGGTTTTTATTTCTTTGGCTTAACCTGAAGTGCCCATAGTTAGATCATACAAACCGTGGTTCATGAAGACTCATCCTCTGTCCCTGCACGGTCCTCTCTTCATTAGCCAGCTATCCAGGTACTTTTGTTTATGTAATAAGCATCCAAGAAGCCATTATTCCAAATGAAAGTTAGGACCTGGACAGTAACCTGCATCTACCTGTATGGTTGCTCCCCAGTCCCATCTCATTGCCTCTGCCACCCCGGTAACCATCACCACGTTCATTATTTATTCTGGTTGTTTTTTTAACCTTATAAAACGTGTATCATGCTGTGTGTTGTCTTTGGAGATTTGTTTTTTTCACCTAACATTAAGTCACTAAGAATTGTCCACATTGCTTGTCACTGAAGTTTGTTGTTGCTTTAAGGGTATGTGTTTACTTTGAGAGAGACAGAGACATTCCGGGGGGGGGGGGGGGAGGGACACAGAGAGAGGGGTTGAGAGAGAATCCCAAGCAGGCTCCATACTGTCAGCACAGAGCCCAACTCAAAGCTTGAACTTATGAAACCTGAGATCATGACCTGAGCTGAAACCAAGAGTCAGACGCTTAACCGACTGAGCCACCCAGGCACCCTTGAAGTTTGTTTTGACTGCATTATACTGTCCCCACCATATGAATGGGCCCTGGCTTATTTGTCCATTCCTCTTGATGTGCTCTGGGGTTGTCCCCATGTTTTTTGCTTCTATAAATAACTTTTATAAGTTTCTGTTGTACATGTGCAAGAGTCTGTCTTAGGAATAGACCCTACAAGTGTAATTGCTAGGTCGTGGGGGTCTGTGTTCACCTCCATTTTAACAGATGATGACATCTGTTTTCCACAGTAGGTCACAAGTTAGCATCCTGCCTGCGGCGGGTAAGAGATTCTGTGGGTCTACTTCCTCTCAAATGCCTTTTAACATTTGCCGGGCAAGTAGGGTTAAAATGGTAGCCCCTCATGTCAGGGAGTGTTCTTGATACGCCATCCCCTGGTTTCAAATTACGTGAAACATCTCTTCATATGTTTTTGTTTTAAGTTTTTATTTAAATTCTAGTTAACATACAGTATAATGTTAGTTTTAAGGGTACAATATAGTGATTCAGTGCTTCCATACAACACTCAATGTGACACCCATCGTGACAAGTGTGCTCCTTAATCCCCATCACCTATTTCCCCCACCCCCCACCCACCTCCCCTCTGATAACCTTCAGTTTGTTCTCTTTAGTTAAGAGTCTGTTTCTTGGTTTGTTTCTCTCTCTCCCTTTTTTCCCCCTTTGCTTGTCTGTTTTGTTTCTTAAAATCCACATAGGAGTGAAGTCATAGTCATATGGTATTTGTCTTTGTGACTTATTTCGCTTAGCATTGTATTTTCTAGCTCCATCCATGTTGTTGTAAACGGTGAGATTTCATTCCTTTTTATGGCTGAATAACATTCCATTGTTTATATATACCACATCTTCCTTATCCGTTCATCAGTCGATAGACACTTGGGCTGCTTCTATATCTTGGTTATTGTAGATAATGCTGCTATAAACATAGGGTACATGTAACCCTTTGAATTAGTGTTCTTAATATTCTTTGGGTAAATACTCAGTAGTGCCATCGCTGGATCATAAGGCAGTTCTCTTTTTAACCTTTTGAGCAAACTCCATACTGTGGCTGCACCAGTTTGCATTCCCAACAGTGCACAAGGGTGCCTTTTTCTCAACATCCTCACCAACACCTGTTGTTTCTTGTGTTGTTGACTTTAGCGTTCTGACAGGTGTGAGGTGATATCTGATTGTAGTTTTGATTTGCATTTCCCTGGTGTTAAGTGACAGTAAACATCTGTTCATGTGTCTGTTGGCCATCTGGATGTCTTCTTTGGAGAAATTTCCGTTAGTGTCTTCTGCCCATTTTTTAATTGCATTATTTGTTTTTTGAGTGTTGAGTTATATTAGTTCTTTATAGATTTTGGATATCTTTGTATGTTTATTGGCCATGTGTTTCCTTTTCTGCAAAATGCCTGTTTTTTCTTTTGCCCGATTTTTGATTGAGTTACTAGAGCTTTTCTTACTTATTTGCAGGAGTTTTGTGTGCCTGTGTATATGCATTTGTGTATGTGTATATATGCATTTGTGTGTGTGTGTGTACACAGGGGCACACACACACGTATTCTTGATACTGGTCTTTTGTCAATTGTGTAGGTTGTGAATATGTTCATCCCATTTATAACTTGCCTTTTACTTCTTTTACATATTTTTTGTTGAACCACAGTTTTTAATTTTAGCATGGACTACATCAGTCTTTCCTTTAATAATTCTTTTTGTGTCTCATTTCAGAAATCTCTCCCTACTGCTAAAGTCTACAAGGTATTCATCTACAGTTTCTGTTAGGTATCTTAACATTTTGTTTTGACATATAAGCCCTTAGTCCACCTGGAGGTGATTTTTGTACATGGTGTGAAACAGGAATCACATTTCATCTCTGTGAATGTGAATAACATGTTTTTAGCTTCCTTTGTTCCCCCGCTGATCGGACATGCTACCTGCATTACGTAACCAGAGTTCATATGCACACAGGTGTGTTTCCAGGTTCTTCTTTCTGTTCTTCTAGTCAGTTTGTCTATCTGTTGCTCTACCACATTGCCTTATTACTAGAACTTCTTAATGAGCTGTATGTCTGGAAGAAAAGTTCTCCTCTGACCTGTTTTTTCCTTCTTCAGAAGTGTTCTGGCCATCCTGGCCCTTTGCTATTTCACTGATGTTTTATTTTAAAGTTATCTTTATACAGGAAAAACCCTGTTGGAATTTTGATAGGGAAATCACTTGAATCTGTAGATGAATTTGAAACAAAAATTGATGTATATTATTGAATCTTGCTACCCATGAACATGGCATACCTCTCCATGTTTTACAAATTCCCCCACAGAGATCTTACACATTATTAAATTTATTCCTAGATATTTGAAACTTTCTATCATAAAAGATGACCTCTCTTTATCTGTATACTCTTTGCTGCTGCTGTATAAAATATGGACTTTTGTATATTAATTTTTTTATCCATTCTCTTGCTAAACTGTTCTATCACTTCTAGTAATTTATAGGCAGACCTTTTCTTCTTTGTTCCTATGTAAAAAATCATATCCTCTCAAAAAAATGGCAGTTGTTTGATTATACTGGGTGAGACTTCCAATACATAGTTGACAACCAATGGTGACAGTGGGCATACTTGTCCGGTTTATAGGAATATTTATAATACTTGTCCATCAAGGATGATATTTGGTATAGATTTTCCTTTCATCTCTTTTTTAATGTTTTTGGGTTTTTTGGGTTTTTTTTTTTTTTTTTTTTTTTTTTGAGAGAGAGAGAGAAAAGTGCAAGGAGGGGAGGGGCAGAGAGAGGGAACACAGAATCTGAAGCAGGCTCCAGGCTCCAAGCTGTCATAACAGAGCCCAATGAGGGGCCCAAACCCACAAACCCTGAGATCATGACCTGTGCCAAAGTCGGACGCTTAACTGACTAAGCCACCTAGGTGCCCCTAACAAAAATTAATTTAACACTAATTTTCTTAACATTAATTATTCAGATTTCCAGGTTTTAATTTCTATCCAGTAAATATTAATAGATATAACCCATATAAACAGAAGCTCTTTGGGTTCCTCAATAATTTTTGAGAGTGTAAAGGGATTCTAAGTTCTACAAT